GGAGAAGACGTCTCTCATATACAACAGTGATTAAGTGGGTTTTTTTGTTTCCTTTAATATATTTAGTTTCTGAAATTCAAAAATTACAAAGCTAGGCTGCAGACATTGGCCCTATGGGCCTTGGGTGGCATTTTATTTTTATTATTCCTTTCAGGACTACTCTGGTTCTAGCTTTCTATCATCTGACTTTTTATCTGGAAATAAACATCCACAGCTAGCCACCCTTCTCAAAAAAAATCACCCACAGAAAATACACAAATTTTATTTATTTTAAATTTTCTTTTTATTTATATTTTTTTACATCATTGTTCTTTTTTTAAAAAAAGATTTATTTATTTATACAAGAACTGGGGTACAGGCCAGATGCGCGAGAGGGTGAAAGGATTCACCAGAGGCAGAGCTGGGAACAGAACAGGCAGATGATGAAATACACTGCTGAGGGGAGCAGCAGGAGCGACAGGAGAGGTCTGCTGCGCTATGTGGGACCCTCACCCACCTGGCCAGGATCGAACCGGAGCTGCAAAGGCTGCGGACAGATTCACAGCATGGCGCTCAACAACCTGCACCACCAGGGAGGCCTGATTGTTCATTTTTAAACAACGTTTGCTCCCCCCACCCCCAGGTATAGTCCCCACAGAATTTCCTTCACCAATGCACCCATGCACCATCACCACAGCCCCCTGTGCTCTTCCATCCCTTGGTCTGATCCCTCCCACAAAGTTTAATTTGAGATGTGGAGGTACCATTGACAGCACCTAATGTTATTTTGATTATCTTAACAAATGGGAATCCTGAAGCCTGGGAGCTTACTTGGGCAGTCCGAGACAGAAAGGAAGCTGTCTGATACTTTTGGTTCATGCACACTTTCCTATGGCACACTAGGAAACCAGGTCAAGTCAGAAGTATTATTCTCATAGACAAAAAACAGTTTTTAAAAACGATTCTTCTATCCACACTTTGTTTCTTTGAATATACCTGTTGTTTCAAAATTGTATTGTAGAGGAATCAGTTGCAGCAACTGTATAGTCTAATTTAAATACATTAAATAAATTGCATTGACATACATTATATTTTATTTCTTCTTTGCAAATATTTTTATTATGAAACAAAAAAAAATCACATCACTTAATTTTTAAGTTTTTTTTTAAAGATAGATTTATTTATTTATTTATTTATTTATTTGTCTATCTATCTATCTATTTATTTATTTATTTATACAAGCACTGGGTATAGTCAGAGGCGCGGGAGGGTGAGAGAATTCACCAGAGCCAAAGCGGAGAGTAGAACAGGCAGAGTAACAAAGTACCCTGCTGAGGCGAGCAGCAGGCGTGGCAGGAGAGGTCTGCGCGCCAAGTGGGACCCTCACCCAGTGGCTGGGGATCTAACTGGCACTGCAGAGGCTGCAGGCACCTTCCCAACCCAGCGCTCAACCGCTGCGCCACCGGGGAGGCCCCACATCACTTAATTTTTAACAAATGTTTCATAGAGGTAACATTAGTTCACATCATTGTTTCTGTACTAGAAGTATAGACTTTCCCTGCTCAGGTGTTGTTACCACATCACCCCACCCCCAAGACATACATAGTTCTCCACCTTAGTCTATTGTGCTCTCTCTTCGCCTTGCTCTTGCCTCTCCCTTTCTCCCCATCTGATACCCTTAGTTCTTTGGGTAGATACCTACCCAAAGCTGTGTAGGGTTAGTTCTTAATTTAGCTCTATCTGATCCTCTGTTTTATTTCCCTGAATTTTACATGTAAGTGACAGTATCTAGTATTTGTCTTTCTCCTTCTGACATTTCTCTTAGCATTATCTCCTCCAGTTCTACTCATGTTGCTGCAAATGGCAAGAGTTTATTGTTTTGAGCTCAGCAGTATTCCATTGTGTGTATATATACCGCACTTTCCTGATGCATTTATCTGTACTGGAGACTTAGTTTGTTTCCAAAGCCTTGCAATTGTAAATAGTGCTCCTGCAAACATAAGAGTCCATGTTTCCCTTCAAATTAGTGTATTTGTATTCTTTGAGTAGATACCTAGGAGTGGAATTGCTGGTTTGTATGGCAGATGCATTTTTAATCTTTTGAGAACCCTCCATAATGTTTTCTGTAAGGGCTGGGCTAGTCTACATTCCCACCAACAATGTAAGAGGATTCTTTTTCCTTTGCACCCTTACCAGTACTTTTTTTCTGGTCTTTTCAAAATTCTCATAGGAATAAGGTGGTATTTCATTGTGTTTTTGATTTGTACTTCTCTCATGATAAGTGAAGATAAACATATTTTCACGTGGCTGTTGGCCATCTGTAGATCTTCTTTGAAGAAGTTCCTATTTAGCACTTTTGCCCACTTTTAGATTGGGCTATTTGTTTTCTTTTTTTGAGTTGTATGAGTTCTTTTTAGATCTTTGACATCAGTCCTATGTCAGATGTATGGTGTACAAATATCTTCTCCCATTCAGTAGAGTGTCTTTTTGTTGTGGTGACAGTTTCTTTTACTGTGTGTAAACTTTTTGGTTTGATGTCGTCCCAATTACTTATATTGTTTTCCTTGCTGATAGAGACAAAATCCACTGAGATATTTCTGAAGCTTATGTCCTGAAGAGGTTTTTCTCACTATAGTGTATACTTTTGTCTAATTTGTCGTAGGTTAACTGTCCATATAGGTGTACGTTTATTTGTGGGTTCTTGATTTTATTCCAATGACCTGTGTGTTTGTTTTTGTTCCAGTACCATGATGTTTTGATTATTATAAATTTATAGTATAGTTTGAAGTCTGGAAGTGAGATGCTGCCATTCTTTCTCCTTTTTTGTCAGGATTGCTTTGGATATTCAGAGTCTTTTGTGGTTCCATATGGATTTCAGTATTTTTTATTCTATTTCTTTGAAGAATGCTATTGAAATTTTGATTGGGATGGTGTTGAATCTGTACATTGCTTTGGGTAAGATTGCCATTTGATAATGTTTATTCTCCCAGTCCATGAGCAGAGGGCATTTTCCATTTTTTGGTGTGTCTTCTATTTCTTTTAACAATGTTTTCTTTGTATAGGTCCTCCTCTGTTAACAACCCCACCATTTTAGTAGCCTCAGTTAACAATTGTGAAAGATGAAAATAGTTCAGTCAAATTATTTTCAAATTTCCTTTCCACACTTTCCAGGAATGAGGAAAAACATGAGCCACCCTTAAGGAATTAGAGGTTAAAGTGTTGGTAAACGTTAGGGAATGGCCTATTGTCATGGGCTATGATGACAGCCTGAGTAGATTTCTAGAACCTGAAACTAGCATGCTTAGCTATCCTCTGGAAAGTCTCACGCTGAGGTCATGATGTCATCATTAGTCGGATGAGGTGTGTTCATGAAATCATTGCTGGAAAAACCTGGGGGGGTTAAAAAATACGGAAACAAAAAGATGTCAACTCTAGTCTCACACTGATGATCCAGGTTTATTTTACTAGCAAAGTTTCAATGATAAATTGCATGGAGAGGGAGGCCACAGAACAGCTCATTATGTGTCATTCACTAATAAAATGGAGCACAGGACTAATACATAGAGTATAAGGCATGTACTGTTTGAAATTACTTTTAAAGTTCAATATGTGTTCAATATTATAGTAAGTTTGGCTCCATGCATAATGCTATTAGAATGGTACATGTTTTTAAGAACTGAAATGGTGTGAATGTCATGGTTAGGTTTTCAAACAGGTTTCACCAACAACTCTGAGACAAACCAAGTGAAGTGGAACAGGTACATTTCTCCTTTGTGGTCAGACTTCCGTGGTTTAAGTCGGTAATTGAAAAGAGGGCTAGAAGAATGAGTCAGAATGCCCTGTCATTGCTTTCTGAAGTGCTGAAAGCATACCGCTTTCATATTTTAATCTTCCAGGTTGAGTGCTGCAATAATCATCTAATTTAAGCACACTTCAAATCCAAAGGTAAATTTTATCCCATTCTTTTTCATTTCCCACCACAAACTCTGGTTTTGGGGACTAAGAAAGGAAGAGTGACATTCTCAGTAGATGTCCAAGAGTTCAGTTTAGAAAATCAGTTATAAAAAAAAGTCATGGTGGGCTAGAACTGTGACAGGAGAGGGCTTGGAGAACATCAGTAGCCCCCATTTAGCCAACTTCCTGTGGCTTCTGAGGTAATTTACCCTTGATTTTGTTTTAGTTCTGTAGTATGGATTCACTTTTTATTTACTTATTTAGCTTAGTCTTAGCTTATGGTGATTTTCTTGTGTCATGGACATACTGGGCAAGAAAAAGGTACACACAAAATAAAAACCAAAGATCTCAAAGAAAGGTGTGCCCCAGATGGAATTCCTGTCTGAACCGCCCTTGGATATCTGCAGTAAATTCACTCCAGGAAAGAGTGTGGGAAATGTGCAAACTCCGTAGAGTCAGTCTCCTAACTGGTGGGCCTGAGGCGACTGTGACAAGAAGTCCATTTCTCCTACTCCTGTGCAGTCCAGGCGGCTCAGGCCGGACCCCCGGGGCAGGGCCCACCGCGGGCCAAGAGGTCAGAGCACAGGGCGGAGCGGAGCCTCCTGCGGCGGCGCGCTCGCTCCAGGGAATGAGTCTTTGTACAGTCAGGGCTTCTGCTGGGCAGGGCCAGCTGCTAATCCTCCAGGCGGACACCGGGGCGGGGGGAGATGGGGCGCAGAGGTGGAGTCCGCCACTGACAAACACCCTGCGCAGGTAAAAGGGTGGCGGCCAGAGGGAGTTCCCACCTGCAGCGTTCCGAAAGAAATGAACACTTAAGAAAATAGGAAGGAGGGGCCGCTCAGAGTTTTTCGGACGCGCCTGGGGCCCCACCCTCGGCCGGAGGAAAAGCCCCTTGGGTGAGAGGCAGACAGTTCAGAGAAACCGGGAAGAAAAGAGACTCTCCCCGCGCTCGCTTCCTCGCCTCGCACTCTCCGCGCGCCGGGCCCAGCCCAGGTCGCGGCCCTTCGCCCCGACTAGCGCTCCTGCCCCGGCCTCCGGGTGCCTCGGCCGGCGACCGCCCCCGAGTCCTCCCATGGCTGCAGCCCGACGCACACGCTCCTGGAGCGGAGCCCTCGGCCGACAGCTGCTGCTGACCCTCGCGGTGAGTGACGGCCGGGCCGCCGGCCCTGGGAGCAGGTCCGGCCCGCTGGGGTTAAGGGGACAACTCTGGGACCAGGGGCGCATGGGGTTGGCGGCCAGAGCGGGGGTTGCTGGGCTTCTGAATGCGTGGAAAGAGTGAAGTGGGTTGGCGCGCGGTGGGCGCACGGAAAGGATCGCGCTCCGGGTGCCGCGATCCCCCAGGGAGAAGGGTGGCTCCACAGCTGGTAGATTTAATGGGCGCCGGTAGACGGAGACCGAGGCCACCGTTGCAAACGCCCTTCTAAAATCGTGGCCTCTGGGTACGAGCGGGGAGGTGCTGCTCCTCAGCGCCTGCTGAAATTCCTGGGGAGGGGTCCGACTGCTTCTGCTGCAGAAACGTCGTAGGGGCAGATCCCCTGCTGGGTCAGGCCAGGGACTTTGAGCTTTTAGGGGAATTGTTCTTTGTGTGTGTGAGTGTGTGAAGAGGCGTGGTGAACCTTGGCATAATTTCCATTGCTTGTCACCTTGCTTTCTGCTTTCTCTGGAATGTTTGGGGAAATGAGGTTTTAATATCTTGTTCTCAAAGGTGTCGGGATTTTTCTGCCCTCTCCACCCCCCACCCCCCAACCCCAATTTCCAGCCCTCTGACTTTACAGAAGACAATAGCATAACTCTATCCACTCAGAGCTGGGAGGGGAAGGAGGTGACCTTATTTGGGGCTGGACTGTCCTCTCCACCTCCCACTGGCAGAAAAGACTGGGATAACATTGGGGGACCAGAAAACACAGGAATCCAAAGCGAGGGAGCAGCCCTTGGGAGAATTCGTGGGTCCCCGGAAGCAGAAAAGTTAAATAAACCAGAGGTGAAAAGCAGGTTCAGCTCTGTAGTTCTTCACGTTAAACCTCAGGCTTTGGGAATCTAGTAAGCCCTGAAGGACAAGGTGACAAACCGGAAGACAGACAGCTAGAAGATTCCTTCTCGATGGGATGGAACTGGGGAGTTGAAGTATTTGGATAATTTCCCCTTCTCTGTTGCTATTATTTTACAGCAAATTCCTTAAATTAAAAAAAAAAATTGTCGTTGTTAGTATTACTAGAATGTCTTTCCTAAGGAACTCAATCGATGTCAAACCCTTAGCTGAATTCCTGGGGCATTCAGCAGTTAGTTAACATTTTACAATTGAGGAAACCAAGAATGGAATAAATAACGGTTAAGAGATATGTAGTAAATGACAAAAGAATAAATTTTGTTTAGATTTCCTATAAAATGGCCGCTTCATTTTATACCATTAGAAAGAAAGGACTTGATTAGGCCCCTGGAAATAATAGGTGTGGGCAATAAATGGCAATTCTCTACAATCCTATACACAACTTTCTGTGTCATCTCAGATTCTTTATATAAGAGAACAGATATAAGTGAATAAGATTCCTTGGCATTTCTTAATTTCAGAGCTTAAAAGTTCACAGGTTGGGTAGAGAAATCTAGTGCTGGCTTTGTCAGCGTGTGTCACTCTGCTAAATTCTAACTGGAAGGTTCAAGTTGTTTTGATGCTTGTGTGCCTATCAATGCAAAACCCTGCCTGCCTTGAATGGATGTTGTGGTTGTGAGTTTTATGTGTGATAAGAGATAGAAAGACTATTTGAGCAGAAGATATTAAATAAGAATGACTTGGGCTATACCCTATGTGTTTCTTCCTCCTGAGACACCCAAGTCATCTACCATTCCATGAATCAGCCTCTCCCAACTTCCTATTATTGCATCACCGCACAAGTTGTCTAAACTACTGTACTCTGTTTTTTGCCTAAACTGCTAATCAGACTCTGAGATCATCAGGGATTCTCATTGCTAAATTCAAATCTTTCCTTATACAATTCCACCTTGTAGACTGTGACTTTATTCTTATAAATCACTCCTTTTTTCTTTTGACCTTCCTAACCACTCAAATTCATACTTCCCATTCCATGTTCTGCCCCTAAAATACTATGTAGGTGCTAAATTTATATTGCTAGTAATTTTATACACATGCTAATTTTTTTATTGCTACTTAGGATGTCTTCATTGAACAATAGGTCTTTATATCTCTCTACCTGTTGTGACATGTGACAAAGCATTTATTATCTTCCTAAACAATGTTGCTTTTCTTTTAGTGCCTTACATTTCAATAAATGATACTACCATGTACTTTATTCCAGCAGACAGGAAATCTGAAAGCTGTTTTTCCTACCTCATCACTCTCCTTTAATCCTTCGTTAAGTCCAATTAAATCTACACTTACAAATATTTCATAGATATCTTCTGTCATGTCTGCTATTTTTGCTATTACAAAAAATAGACACACACATATATATAATTTCATACATGGGTAGGTGAATCAATAAAATAGAAGTATTGATAAAATGTAAATAACTATAATTTTGGTAAATATTAATAGCTCTACCCTATTTTATTATTGATGGCATATCATATCATTGAGGATGTGTGTGTGTATGTGTATGTATAGTGAAACTAATTGATCTAGGCAGTCATTGGGAAAATATAGTTAAATCCATATCACATTCAAGACACCACAGAAAACTCCATAAAGATAAAAGTTTGAAATATATTGTATGATAGCATACAGAGTAGAAAAACACATGGTGAATTCTTATTTAAATTTGGAACCAGGAGGCTCATTAATAGCTCAGATTTCAAAAGTTATTATGATTGAGAAAATCATTTATATTAAAATACACATACTTTTCCATGTCAAAAAAAAATAAATCAAACTAAGTAAAAATATGGTAACTGTAAAGCAAAGTAAAAATGTAACTGATAAAGTAGAAAAGAATATTTGCAGGTCATATTTTAAAAGGCTAGTGTACAAATATGTAAAGAGCTCTTATAAATCAGGAAGAAAAAATCCAACATGAACATGGACGTGAAACGTATCTTTCTGTCTATTCATATACTGTCCTGCATTGTTTATTGAGACTTCATAGAATCTCTTAAGACTAACTCTTAAGGCTGATTTCTTGTTTACAATTTTTCTGTCTATTCTGTTTTCTGTTTTTCTTTTTAACTTGGTATGATGAAAGTTTGTCTTATCCATGTTTTAATATATTTTGCTCCTTTTGATCATACAGTGACTCAATTCTTCAGTCTAATGGCTCAGCAATCCAAATATAGGGTGATACAGGATGCTGAGAATTGTGTAGGTCTTCTTATTTATTCTTCCTTTTGACTATTTAGATAAGCTTATCTAATTCCACCCAAAACACTGCTAAAATCTGTATTGGAATTATAATATTTATAATTTAATTTAGTCAGAATTGATATATTTATGTTCTTGAATTTTCTTTCTATAAAAGTGAAACACCTTTGTTTTCGTACAAGTCTACTTTTGAGTCTTTCAGAAATTTTGTTTAGGTTTTCTATACATGTTTCTTGTTAGTTTACTCCTTGACATTCTAACTTTGTATTGCTTTGGAAAATAATCTCTTCCATGATATTATTAATTTCTGTGTATGAAGTTTTACGTTATGTGCATAAAGATGAATTTTGTGTGCATGTGTTTATGTTTGTGAAGACTAAATAATTGCTGTTTCTTAATAGTTATTTTTGCTTTTTTACTGAAATTTTCTTACTGTTTTACAATAATGTACTTGTTTATTTTGCTTGGGTTTTCAATCATATCAAATGCAAATAGAGATTTTTTTATCCTCTTCCTTTCTAATTCATATGTCATCTAATATCTTCCTCTTGCCACGTGTACCTGAGTGTAATGTTTACAGTAAATGATGACCTTGAAAAATCTAGATTGCTTCTGAATTTAGGGGTGTTGCCTCTACCACCTTCCCATTGATACTGTGATTATAATATAAAAATCATATTGAAGAAGGACATTTCAGTTCCTATTTTTGAGACTTTTAAAAATATCTATGAATTGTTGCTGGATTTAGTCAAATGTCTTTGAGCATCTATGATGGTATCTAATGCAAAGCATTCTTAGACTAATGACTCCAAGACAAAACCTATAATGTGAATGTGCCTTACATGAACTTTGCATTTGGGATCCTTAATTAATGTAGGGGACTCTTCTCTCAGAACTTAATCAAAACATTTCTTAATCTCTCTCTATTGAGACAAAAAAAATCTTTTCATTTTGGAAGATGTTTCTGGTCTCTCTTCTAGTTTTATCCTTTTTTATCCTAGCAATTACGTGCTAGGTGCTTTAGGATCATTAAAAAAGCAAACAAGACGTACAAATGTTGATTATCTACATGGATTCTACAGATGTTTACTTATCTATGTATTTTTTTAAAGATTTATTTATTTATTTATTTATACAAGCACTGGGTACAGTCAGAAGCACAGGAGGGTGAGAGAATTAACCAGAGCCAGAGCAGTGAACAGAACAGGCAGACTGACGAAATACATTGCTGAGGGGAGCAGTGGGCAAGGCAGGAGAGGTCTGTCGCACCATGTGGGACCCTCACTGGTGGCTGGGGATCGAACTGGTGCTGCAGAGGCTATGGGCAGCTTTGTAGCCCAGTGCTCAACTGCTGCACCACCAGGGGAGGCCCCATCTATATATTTTAAAGAAAGATTCTTCAACACTGACTATCAAGTAAACAGGAAAACAAATTGGAGCAGTAATAAAATCTTAACACCCCTCCCCAAAAGCAAACAAACAAACAAACAAAAAAAACCAAAAAAAAACCTTTTCATCGTTATTGGTTTTGCCAAGGAGATTTGTCTGTATGACCTACCCACCATTATTAGAAATAAAAATTATTTTTCTCTAATCTGTTCTTCAGGCTAGTGAGAATTACCTTCTTCAAATATAAAACTTCTTATAAATGTATCTACTAAAGACAAATTTTTGGGTTCTCATTGTTTTTAGGTTTAAAGTCCATGGACATTGTTAATGCTGTTCAGAATCTGTCTCACACTCACTTTTCTAAATCCATGTTAATCTCTTCACTCTTGCATTATGTCCATCAGTCATTCCACATTTCATTTTCAGGTCTGTATCATCTCTGGTCCTTTCCATCTGTTCTTCCTATGTTTGGAATATATAAGCTCCACCACCTCTTGACATGGTAAACTTGTAGCCACTCTTCAGTTGACATCACCTGCCTCTTAGTTGAGCCTAGTAGCAAGTGCTCTGTTCTCCTCTATCATAGCTTTTATCCCACGTTACTGAACTTACAAATATGACTTGCCATTGAATTGAATATTTCAGAAAGAACTTGTTCTTTACTTTGTGTCTGGTATATAGTAGAGATTCAGTGACTATTTGTTAAATGAATGAATGAATGAATGAATGTCCAGAATAGAATTATGCAAATTATTTTCTTAATTCTGCTCTTTCTCACTTTCTCTATCATTACCTTAGTCCAAGTCACTAACCTTCTCTTAGATCTTTGCTGTAACCTCCCTTCTTGCTTCCATTCTTGTTTTGCTACAGTCTGTTCTTACATAGTCACCAGAATGGTTCTGTGTAAGTGCTGGCCACATTCTATTCTTTAGCTTGTAAGCCTCTTTTTTCATTCAGAATATAGTCTGCACTCCTTAGTGTGGCCTTTTACAGCCTATGTGCTGTGCCCTGATTGGACTTTGCTATCATCTGGTTTTACTCTTCCCTCACTGCACTCTACTATTATGACCTTATTTTTGTTCCTCCAGTTCACCAAGAGAAGTCCTCTTCCAGGCCCCTTGTTCAGGTTTTTGCTCCATCAGAAGGTCCTTCCTGAGTTACTGAGCTGTTTACTTCCTCATTTCCTCAAAGCTTTAGGTCTTCCCTCTTTCATCCACTCTCCCTGCTGTAATTTTGTCATAATGTTTATATCCCTCTCTGCCTTAGCATTGTGTCCTTTGTCCATGTGTGTATCCATTTATCTCTCCTTATAATACAATCTTCGTGAAGTCAAGGGCTTCGCTTTTTTCACTGCTGTAGCATTTAAAGACTACCTAGCACCTAGCAAGCAGTCAGTTAATATTGGTTGAATGAATAAGTGGACATATGACTTTAATCACCTGGAGCTGGAATTCTCAGTCATCTGATTCTACTCCTACTCTCTCTTGATTACACAATTAGTGAGAATTCTTCTCATCTTTTAATTTATAAATAGTTTCTACATTTGTGTTCATCCCCTATTTCTGAATTAAATATAATTTCTGCTTTACCTGATCATTTGCGATAATTTAAATTACAGAATTAAAAGTTCTCTAATGTGTATGTAAAAAAAAAATCCAAATTTTAATTTTTTTAATTTGTGTTTATTGACTTTGTAAATAATAGCGTAAGTTATAATTATCTTGCTTTTAGATAACTACAGGGAATAGTTATAAATCTTTTAGAAACATCCACTGTAAAATTTTAGAGAGAAAAGAAATTAAATTTCAATATATTCAAATATATATTGTACTGGAATAAGTTCATCATAAGTCACTAACACATTTTAAGAAATTCAAGTGAAATATTTTCTAAAATGACTTCAGTTTTCATTTATGAGGAAGTGTACCTTCACAAAAAGTTCATGTTTCAGAACTATGTGTTTTCAGTGGATGGTGGTGGGTGTACTGTGGTGACTATAGCTGAAGAGGGAGAGCCTTTATCTCCCAAATACTAACCAATGCAAACCAATGGTACATCAATAAAAATTTAAGTGTTTGTGTGGTGACATTCATCAACTGATACTCTTCAGATCATTCCATGCCAGTGAGTTAATGCTTTTTAAAAGCATTGGGATTTTGTTTTGGATATTATAGCTCATAGGCAAATGAAAATTAATTCAAACAATTTGCTGCTCATTAAATTTGCTTTTGTTTCTCTTTGCATACCTTTGCTGCCTTCTTCCTAACCATGAACACTTTTAATGCTTGCTCTCTTACAAAGTTTGTCCTTGGTTCCTCAATCTTCTATTAACTATATTTTACAAAATAGGATACAATGTGCAAGAGGGTAAGGAATTTTGAGTTCACATGCTTTGTGAAAAGTGAGTCGTGACTCATTAGTTTACTGCTATATTCTTCCCCTCAATACAATTTTTTTCTTATTTTTTCACTTCAGTATATATATATTTTTTATTTTTCTAATTATGAAAGTGATATATGAATACACAAATTTTTAACTTTTGTAAACTATATATACATTTGAAGGATTTTTATGCATAATATTGATTTTATATTTTAGATCTTAACATTTGCCTGTGATGCCTGCAAAAGAGTGACACTACATATTCCATCTGAGCTAGGTGCTGAGAAATTTGTTGGTAGAGGTAAGAATCTTCCCAAATATATAATAAAACCTAATTTTGGGTGATCTTTTAAAATTAATGTAGTTTTTAGAAGAATAATGGTATTATCTAATAGTTAAAACTATCATCGTTTGTAATATATATGGTGTATGAAGCAAATAGTGTTTACTGAAAAACATGATTGCATGAAGTATATAAAAAGATTTAGTTTGAATAATAAAATAATCATTAGTACTTATATTAGATGAAGTATATGGTATATATTTCTGTGAAAAAAAGAAGAATATTAAAACTATTCCTTGAATGTAAGATGTTTTTGGATTTTTTTTACCTTATTGACATTTTCTCCCACATATTAATTTTTATCAATTTTTTTCACAGAACTCAGATGTATAAGAAAAGATCAAACCAATGAGAACACAGAATATAACTATTTAACAATAGATATAAAAAGCTCAATAATGTTATAATAACTGCCTATATTAATCATCTAGATTCTGTTTAACTTCAAGTGATCTCTTGTACTACTCTATAGCTAATTTCAGTCAATAAGTAAAAATTTTTGCTGGCAGTTTAAATATCCAAAACACTTGAGTTAACATACCTTTATTTCAGGATAGATATCTCTTCTTTAAAAGATGTAAGGAATGTATGAGAAGTGATGTATATGTTTAATTATAACTTAAGTAACAATACTGTTTCATATGTCCCTCTAAAAATGGAAAATTGATAAGTGTCAGTGTAATTATTAATTTTTGGCTCCCCCTCTAAATGCATACTTTACTGTTAAAGCTATATATTGTTATGCTTTATGTTACAAATGATTGCCATGTATATTTTCTACAGTTAACCTGAAGGAGTGCTTTAAATCTGCAAATGTAATTCATTCAAGTGATCCTGATTTCCAAATCTTTGATGATGGTTCAGTATATACAACAAAAACTATTCTGGCCTCAGAGAAGAGAGATTTTAACATACTGCTTTCCAACACCGAGAACCAAGAAGAGAGGGAAATACTTGTCCTGTTAGAGCATCAAACAGAGGTACACTGCACTATGAAAATCAAGTATAATGAAATATTTTCTTCAGGTGTAACTACAATTATCATAGAAGGTCCAGATTTTATGATTCTTGGTAGTGGAATCAGAAAGTATATGAGATAGTTTAACTTGAAGAAGAAAGAAAAGACACAGCTCACCATTGTTCAGTCAGAAAAGGGTTATGCAACATAGGTTGCAGGTTGTTATTCCTTTCATTTGGGACATAAAATGAGAAATTAGGATCTGCTGCAACACGACAGCTTGAGAGTAAACACCAAGAACCAATACTTGGTCTTGACTGCCGATTAGATTACCAAAAAGAAGTTTTGAAGCTCTATCTCTGCAGGTCTTAGCAGAATTTGTATTCCTAGTTTGAGACTATTTTAGGTTGAGGTTTGGACTCACACATGCTTATTATATTGTGACACTCAAGATAGAAAGGACTTCTACTCAGACACTGGCCACTACTCACTGCAGCAATGTGAGAGTTGTCACCATGTTTCCCTCTTCATTCTGACACAGATCTCTCTGTTGGTCCCCTGACTCTTCCTAGTTGCTGGTGAGTTGAAGATACTTAAGCCAAATTTAGAAGGGCACATACTCTAGATATTTTCTTTGCATATCTCTCCTCCCATGTTTTTGCATGGCTATATGGAAATATTTTTTTTTTAACATTTTGCTTCCAGATTTCCATTTCCATTTTTCTTTCTTTGATTTTTCCATCAAGTTATTTTTTAAGAGGGTAACTGTGACAATGAGCAGCTATTTATTTATCTTTTGTAGAGTTCACATTTATTTTGGTTTTCAAGTACTACTTCTCCATTTAATCCTCATGAGAGAAGAAAGTTGTATCAAAGTCCTAACATTTGATAATAAAATAGTCATTAACTTTATTTTTTTTTTAATTTCTTTCAATTGTGGTGCTGAAGATAAGTCATCCTAAAGAAAAAGTGCTAAGACGTGCCAAGAGAAGATGGGCTCCTATTCCTTGTTCAATACTGGAAAACTCCTTGGGTCCCTTCCCATTCTTTCTTCAACAGGTACAATTTACTTTCTTTCCAAAGAAAATCTATGGTTTCCATTCTTTTTAAATTTGGGTACTGGTATGCAAATATTTTTAAAACACTAGTATTAATATGCAAGTAATGTGTATTTTATGTTTCAGTGGGTGGGTATAAATATTTTTTATAACTGCATATATTTTTTTCCAGTTTTAGTTATAAAAATACCACTTATAAAGCTGTTCAACCCTTTTAGTATTCTCAAACTCATGATTCCTTAATGAATTTTCATCTCAGTAAGTGTATCACATAGCATGGGCATCATCTAGAAAATTCCAAAACTACATCCAAATGAAGGATGAAGGGCAAAGACACAAATGTCATACCATCAAGTCCACTGTTTAATTCACACTGGGCCCATATTTTCTCTTTTAATATTTAGTGGGAATCACAGCAAATGTTCTTGACTTCTACTATCAGTGGTCACTGACACTTACTTTATGACCTGGGTTTCTTATAGCTTATCAATAAATCTAATGCAACTGAGAGAAGAACAGAGTGAAGACAAGGACGAAATTGTTAGAAAATAATCGTGTTTTTCATGCTAATATATAGTCAAGATCTTATTAAAAGGATGAAAACAACTAGGGAAAATTTTGCTTTTTGAATCAAGTACCAGAAAATCACACTTTTCAGGATATCATGCCACTTTCATTCTCACTCATTTCTTCCACTCAATTCCTATAATAAAGAAGATGCTGACAAATAACAAGAACTAATTAAAGAAAGCTGTTTCCCAGTTTCTGTTCTGTAGATACTACACTTTAAACCCAGTTTCTCAAATACTATTTTTTTTTTTAAATCAGATAGTTAAAAATTTGACAAAGAATAATTTTGCATACTGAGAATGATTTGTTTACTAAGACAAGTAAGTCTTAGGGCCTCCCCTGTGGCACAGCAGTTGAGTGCTGGGTTGTGAAGCTGCCTGCAGCCTCTGCAGCTCCTGTTCAATTCCTGGCCACCAGGGGAGGGTCCCACATGGAGCGCAGACCTCTCCTGCCACCCGCTGCTCCCCTCAGCAGTGTACTTAGTCAGTCTGCCCATTCTGCTCCCTGCTCTGGCTCTGGTGAATTCTCTCACCAGAGAAAAAAAAAAAAGAAAGTCTTAAATATTTTTCCATATTGAAACCAGTTAGCCCCTAAAGTTAGTTATTTTGGAAACTGAGACACTACTACATTATTTTCCTCATCGCTTACCCTTGAAATTTCTTAATTATAAGCTTCTTTATTCTGTTGCTGCTTTTTTTTTTAAGTCACCCAGGAAATACTATTTATTTTATCAAAATTATTCCTTTTCCCTTCTTTTTCTAGGCATTATTTCAGTTTTATTTTTCTTTTTTTTTTTTTTAATCTTAAATTTTATTTTTATATTCCCCCATACAATTGCAAACGCCCCATTCTGACCCCAATCCTTCCCCTCCCGCCCCCCACCCCCCAAAAAGTGTCTCTGGTTCATAGTTTTTTGTTGATTTTGATTTTCACTTTCTTATATTCATTTTCCTGGTCCCTTATTTAAGTTTTCTAGATTCCTGCTATGAGTGAGACCATCCGGTATTTTTCTTTTTCTTTTTGGCTTATTTCGCTGAGCATGATCCCTTCCAGCGCCATCCATGTTGCTGCAAATTGCATGTGTTTATCTTTTTTGAATGCTGAGTAATATTCCATGGTATATATGTACCACATCTTCTTGATCCAGTCATCTACTTTTGGGCATTTGGGTTGTTTCCAAAGCTTAGCTATTGTAAACAGTGCTGCTATAAACATAGGGGTGCAGGTGCTCTTTGGAATTGATGTTTCTGTGTCCTTTGGGTAAATACCTAGGAGTGGAATTGCTGGATCATATGGAAGCTCTATGTTTAGTAGGTCCAGAAATCTCCACACAGCTCTCCATAGTGGTTGGACCAGTTTGCACTCCCACCAACAGTGCAGAAGAGTTCCTTTTTCTCCACATCCTCGCCAACATTTGTTGTTGCTAGTTTTTTTAATATGTGCCATTCTCACTGGTGTGAGATGGTATCTCATGGTAGTTTTGATTTGCATTTCCCTGATTGCAAGTGATGTTGAACATTTTTTCATATGTCTGTTGGCCATTTGCATTTCCTCTTCAGAGAAGTTTCTTTTTAGCTCTTCTGCCCATTTTTTGACTGGATTATTTTCTTTGTTGTTGCTGAGTCTCATCAGCTCTTTGCAGATTTTTGTGATCAGTCCTTTATCATGAGTGTTGGTGCTTTTTATTTGTACATAATAGTAATTAAAGATAGAGAGTATATACTGTAAGAAAAATGGCAAATTTCATAATTATATATATAAAAGTTTTGCTGAAATAAAAATTTGTCTATTAAGTATATAATATCTACTTTTTAGATTCAGTCTGATACAGCACAAAACTACACTATATACTATTCCATAAGTGGACCTGGAGTTGACCGAGAACCTAAAAACTTATTTTATGTAGAGAAACATACTGGAAACCTGTTTTGTACTGGTCGTGTAGATCGTGAGCAGTATGAGTCTTTTGAGGTAATGTCTAAAATTTATGCATTTTATTAATAATTATTAAGCTTGGATATTTTACTTCTCATCCTTTGTTCATTCACCCTTTTCTGTTTTCTAAGTTTGCTATCTAGGTTCTAGCTATATACGATAGCACATACTTGACTTGAAGGACAAATAATTCTCAGAATAAATGACAGTAGATCTGATTAAATGGCTTTTGATATTGTAGTTTCACTATTTCTTCAAAAGTAAAATGAGTACCACTGAGAAGAGCAGTTATTTCACTGGCAGAAAAGATACCGAGGAAACTGAAAATATCTATAATTGGATTAGATAATTTTAAACATAAAATGCTACTGTACACCATGAATTTGACCCTGTCTTTGGCATTAGGTTACAGTAAGAACAACAAAAACAATACCAAGTGAAGAACCTCCTACTTCACTGTTGAATAATCTCCAAATTAAAACCAAAGCAATTCTGAACCATCTCTTAATAGATTATTTCTGCTTCTGTCTTTATTTTGCTTTCTTTATAGATAACTGCCTTTGCAGTAACTCCTGATGGGTATACTCCAGAACGTCCATTGCCCCTACTAATCAAAGTTGAGGATGAAAATGATAACCCCCCAATTTTTACAGAAACATTGTATACTTTTTCAATTTGTGAAAGCTGCAAAGTTGGTAAGTACCTACCTTAATATGTAGAATCTTAATATTTCAGTTTATAAATAGAGTTTCACAGTGGCCATTGGGAGGCAGCATATTCCACTGGCAGGAACTCCAGACTTGTCAGTCAGGCTGCTCTGCATGGAATTTTACTCTGCCCTTCGCTAGCTGTGTGCTGTATCCTTGGGCAAGTTTCCTAATTTTGACAAGTCTCAGCTTCCTTATTTGTAAAATGGGATACTTACATGAAAGATTGTTGTAGAGATTAAGTGAGACATAATCCACGTGAAATACCAAGTACAGTACCTGAAAAATAGGCATTACTCAATGAATGTTACTTTGCCTTCTTAAGTGAATACTTTAAAGATAATATACTCCAAAAAGAGAAAGTCTTTCACAACTGAAGTCTTAGCTTTAAGAGATATTTTGATGTTCTGCAGTGATTAAATGATTGACAAAATGTCAGGCACAATCATAAAGGTCATTGAGAATAAGAGATGTTCTCTCAACCTTGTGAAAAAGGACCATGTTATCTGTGAGTCAGAATGTAGTATTTGAGTCTTCTAGAGTGACCCAACTAAGGCAAGGATTTTCAGAGAAAACTGACTCATACGATCAATTTAACTGTAGACTTACAACTAGAAAAAATGTTAAAGAAAATTAGAATTCCTTGGCTATGGAGCTATATTAACAACACTTATAAAATTATCCATTATATAGAGTAACCATGGATATGGTCACGAAATTTCAAAGTAGAACATTGGGATACTTGAAAGGAAGCAAAATTTGCGAACATATAACACTTTTTACTGTGATATCTATTGGAGTCATTCAAAGCATTTTTGAATACAGAAATAAAGTGAAAATGTAAACATTTTGAAAATTAAAGAGGAGTTTTCACTGCATAGGATCCGTCGTGGGACAAGTACAAGCAACTGACAGAGATGAACCTGACACGATGCATACACGTCTAAAATACACCATTATTGAGCAGATTCCAGCATCACCCACCCTGTTTTCTATGCATCCATCTACAGGTGTGATCACCTTGTCATCATCCCAGCTAGACAGAGAGGTAACATAAATGTATATATTTTTTAATTAAAAAATTTCTTTTTATTTATGTATTTTGTACATCATTGTTCATTTTTAAACAATGTTTGCTTCCCCCTCCCCAACCCCCTCATGTATAGTCTCCATAGAATTTCCTTCACCAATGCAACCATGCACCTTTTTAAAGATTCATTTATGCATACAAGAACTGGGGTACAGGCCAGAGATGTGGGGGGGTGAGAGCATTCACCAGAGACAGAGTGGGGAACAGAAATGGCAAATTGACTGAAAATACACTGCTGAGGGGAGTAGAGGGCAACACAGGAAAGGTCTGCTGCGCCATGTGGGTAGCTCCCTGGCCAGCTTGGGATTGAACTCATGCTGCAGAGGCTGCAGATAGCTTCACAGTGCTGTACTTAACCCCTACTCCACCAGGGAGGCCTGTAACATAAATATTAATTAATAAACTTGGTTATCATATGACTATTTTATAGTACCTGTATATCTCCATATATCACCTGTACATGTGCTTTTGAAAAACATTTTGTGAATCAACTTTTCAGAAAAAATATTATTTTAAATATGTTAAGAAAGATCATTAAACATGCCTGTGCTTATTTTGAAAAACTAGTTCATTGTCTCTTGAATAGTATGTTTATAAAATTAGATTTTATAATATAAGCATATTTATAATATTAAAAACAAGAAATGTCAAGTATGAAAAGTGAAACTTTTGGAATTATACAGTCATTTTTTAATCTGCAGATAACAATGCTTTTTCCCCCTTGTGTACATCATCTTTCTCAATAATCTCATGTACATTCTTGCCCTTAGATAGGTTAAATAAGTTTATGTATCTCTGATCACTGGTTTACCATTTTCAATTGATTTATAGAAATCCATTGAAATATTTCACAGGTATCTAAGATGCAGTGCTTATAAAATGGAATACTCTTTTCTTCTAGACATGCTTTCCTTTTCATGTTTCCCATGATTCCTATTACTAATTTTTCTGTCACCTTGGATTAATATTCCCAAAATTGTATATAATGTCTCCTCTTGCCCCCTAGATGAAATCACTTTCCAGAAAGCATGTTGAAATTACCTCCAAAATTGTCTTACATAGAAATATTGGCTACTAATCATCATAGACACTGACATTTAGTAGTTATTCTATCAATTCCACTACCGCTATCTTAGGTTAGTAGTTCTACATATTATATAGATTCTTCATGGAGTTCATGTGCCCAGGAAAAGCAGATTATAAACCTAATCCTCTTTTATCAGCAACACTTGTATAGATCCTTCTATAAATCAGATGAAAACATTTGACTAGTGAAGGAATCTCAGGGTGCTTTGATTCAAGTGCTCTGCAGCCACTTTTTTTTTAAGATTGAGGTATTTTTTTTTAAGATTTATTTATTTTTATACAAGAGTTGGGGTACAGGCCAGGTGAGAGGATTCACCAGAGACAGAGCAGGGGGCAGAACAGGCAGATGACAGAAGTACACTGCTGAGGGGAGCAGCGGGTGCGACAGGGGAGGTCTGCCACACCATGTGGGATTCTCTCTGGCCTGCCAGGATTGAACCCACACTGCTGAGGCTGCGGACAGCTTCACAGCGCAGTGCTCAACCCACTGTGCCACCAGGGAGGCCCAGCCACTTTTTTTTTTTAAAGATTTATTTATTTATGCATACAAGTGCTGGGGTATAGGCCAGAGGTGTGGGGATCGGGTGAGAGGATTTACCAGAGACAGAGTGGGGAACAGAACAGGCAGATTGAGCAAAGTACACTGCTGAGGGGAGCAGCGGGCAAGTCAGGAGAGATCTGTTGGGCCATGTGGGTTGCTCCCTGGCTGGCCGGGGATCGAACTGGTGCTGCAGAGCCTGAGGACAGCTTCATGCGTTGTGTCTTAACCCCTTATGCTACCAGGGAGGCCTGCAGCCACTTGCTGATTACAAGATTCCGGGGTTTTTGTTGTTGTTGTTGTTGCCTTCAATCCCTGAAATACTTTCAATTCTAGAAGTAATCTTCTATTTGAAGATACAAGTTAATATTGAGAGCTATTAAACATCATTTCCTTGTTTCATCAGCCAGTTGATTATTTCTAATAAATCATAGTTCACTATAGTTCCTCTAGTATAGAAGGATGAGGTTTTAAATTTTTTTAAATAAAATAAGGTCAATATTTTTCAACTCTACATTTGTGATTGATTATGAGGGAAGAGTAAATTAGGAAAATTATGTTGCTAAAAACCTGAGAGATTGAGGGAAATTTCAGTTTTATTGAGGTAATACATGAGAACAAGAGAGTTTAAGAGGTGATGGAATAAAGGGAGAAGGTAACTTTGTAAAAGAATGGTGAACATCATAGGTAGAAATTTGGGATATTTTTTCATGTACTTTGTCTTACGATAAAAGGTGAATTATACTGAAAGGTATTATTATCATTTTATAAAAAGGAAAAGAGAATTTCCAAGCGCTTGAGATTATATTTGTTAATTTGCAATTGGAAAGAGAACCCATCTCTATTAGTCCAGAAGGCACTATCATTAGGGTTGTTTTTAATTCTTCTATAACTGCTTTTGGCAAATAAAGCCATTATGAGAAGAATTGCATTGTTTTAGCTAGTGATGAGTCTTTTGTAATGTCTGATGAATGCAAAGCCCGAAGAGTCAGATTCTGCTTTACATGGAGAGAAAAATTACATAGCCCCAGCCTTTGTTTTCATGCTAATTTAATGATTTTCTTTTTTAGTAAATAAGAAGTAAATATTTAAGCCCTGTTACTTTACAGGAGGATATTTCATTTTATTGTTTCATTACAAGACTGATGTCTTTTTTTTTTTTTTTTTTTTTTTTAGAGCATAAAGATGTTTTGGATAGGAGAAAGAACTTTTAATCAAAATTAATTACTCAGTATTTTTAAATCTACTATAGTTATAGCTTTTCTTTCTGTGAGTAAAGTTAAATTCAATCAATTCCATATTCTGTGATTGGCACTTTAAATTTTAGAAACTACTCTGTTTTTACATATCAATTGAAAATTGCTAATGTAAGTACTTTTAACCCACTACCTGAAATTTCACTGAAAGTTGTGAAATTTAATACTGTACCTCTTAAATTGTTAATGCAGGAAAAAATAAGGTGTAAATTAACTTTTCTTTTATAATGCTGCTTTCACTTATTAAATTCTTACTTTAATTTCAGTTAATTGATCATTACAAATTGAAAATAAAAGTACAAGACATGGATGGTCAGTATTTTGGTTTGTTTACCACTTCAAGTTGCGTCATTCAAATTGACGATGTGAATGACAACTTGCCAGTATTTACCCAGACTTCTGTAAGTACATGATATTAATAAAGAAAAATATACAACCTTCTGTTAACTGTTGAAGATGTACATGATTTCATATGAAATATTCTAGATCACGTGACAGTAGTTTGTATTTAAGATTTCAAATCATGTAAACATAGTACTTTGGAAACTAGAAGAATCATGTTACTTCTTCCAGTGTATTTTTATGAAAGTTACTAATTAAACTCTTCTTTTTATTATTTTAGTATGTGACATCAGTGGAAGAAAATGCAGTTAATATAGAAATTTTACGTGTTACTGTTGAGGATAAGGATTTGATTAATACTGCTAATTGGAGAGCTAATTATACCATCTTAAAGGGTAATGAAAATGGAAATTTTAAAATTGTAACTGATCCCAACACTAATGAAGGAGTTCTGTGTGTGGTTAAGGTAAGCATAAATTAGTAAATTAGTTGTTTGTAGTTTATAATATTATAGATTGATATACTGAAGTTAGTGAAAAGGTCATTCTGGTAAAAGTAGATATAAAACATATATATAGGTAAATGTAAATATATATGCTATGTATGTATATATATATATATAATGGGATGGGTACATTTATTTGAGGAGCCTTTTATAAAGACAGGACTTAAAAAATATCATATATGTGTTTAGTTAATATGATACAGTATGCCCTTTGCAACCAACATCTCTTAATAGTTCAGAAACTAACACAACTTTGCTGCCAATGGAATAGTGCCAGTCATTCCTAACCTATTCTTCCTGTAGCTGGGTCAAGAGTTCCCACTTATTTACTGATTATCCCAAATGATGGTCTTCTGGGTTAGATGCCGGGGACCAGCCTCCAGCAAAACGTCGTGTCAGGGGTTCCTGAAAGGATGAGACGGCCTAGGCGAAAACGAAAGAACTGAAAACTTAAGGGCTGAGGGGAAGGGGATGAGGTAGAATGAGGAGACACTGACACTCGGTGAGGTGTTAGTATTTTCTGCCGAGAGACTCAGCAGGTTTTTATTTATTTATTATTAGTAATAATAATAAGAAAATACATTATTATGTGTAAAGCATAAACAATTAGTATATTATGTTTTTCATAGACTACTGGCCCCTACAGGTCTCAGCTAGACGGCAGCTTTTAAGGTTAACAGATAATAAACCAAACCTAACATTAAAGCTACTTATTTTTTTATTTAGACCATTATTTAAAACAGTGAATAACCGCCAGTGTATTTCTATCAGCTAAAGCCTAAGCATCAAAGGACTATTTTATTTACATGACCTTTAGCCGGAGACCAGCTGTAGTTTAGCTATTAGAACTTTTTCTACCTAGAAATTTCTTAACTCAAATAGTTTTATATTAAAAACTTTTTCAAGAAACTTCAAGAGAAAACAAAATAGAAGGACCTGTTATGATTATTGTATTGTAATGTTTGTCAGGCATATTTAATAAGTTGTTTTTCATTGTCAAGTAGGCCAAATTGTTTAATAATTAGTTTTTAATTTTTTATGTCGTTTATTTGTAATATACTGATGTATATAATATAGTGCCTAATGTACTTTTTGGGAAATTTTTTTTTATTTATGACCAAGAACAGAAAGTGAAGGAATGTTACATCTTCAACCTCACGGTGTGAGGCACAAGGAATTTTTAGCCCCACGGTGTGAGGCCCTTTGGCTTCGCTGCTTGCCAGTGTCTTATCTGGCTGGGGCATCAAGGCCTCCTGCAGCAGTTAGACCCATAGGCACACTGTTACAGATCTGCTCATCTGTATCAAGTATACAGTATATCCTTAGCTTCTTGGTTCAGTATGGGAATCTCAACCACTCAACAATGTAAATATTTCTCAAACCTCTTTCTAATAGTATTCTGTAGCATCTTAGAACAACTCCCTGCCAATTCAGGAGCCAACATCAGCCCATAAAATCATCTGAGCTTCTTTGATTTTGGACAAAGTCAGTCTTATTTCTGCTGCATCTCTTACTACAACATGGTTCTGCCATGGGTGCATGGACTGTCCCTTTTGTACATATTCATTAGGAGCATGAATCAAAAATGGCAAATTCTTTTTTTTTCATAAAGTGATGAAAATTAGCTGCAGTTTGTAAGTTTAATCTCTGTTCCAAAATAGCAAAGAAATGTCCTTTAAATCTTATCTCTTCCTTTCACCGGCTTCTGCCCTAATCCTTGGTATTCTAAGTAGGACATTTATCTTTGGGAAGTCTAAAACCTGACCCAATTTCTGCTTTTAGAAAATAAATTCACCCATTCTTATTACAACTAATTATTGGAAAAAATAAAAAACGTTCATTAAACTTGGTTCTAACCACTTTCCCAGAAAGTAGTGGGGATTAAAGACTTTAAAAAGGAAGTGTAATGTTCACAAACTCTCTGTTCTTTTCCCCCCTTTTAAAAACATTTCATAAAGTTGAACTCATATTGTGTAACCCAAAGTAGATATAAATAATAATTTCATTCATTGCAAAAGGACAGGATACACTGTCCCCAAGTTAACAAAGTGGTAAATAACTGTTAGTTAGGGTATGAACCCCCTAAAGTAATAATTCAAGTGTTAACCTTGAAGGACTTTCATCAAATATTCTCTGAAATCTTATTAGGATCTATATTACTTGTATTAAATTTGGAGTTGAGGAACAGTTTTTGTTTGTTGCTGGCTCCAGTCAAATATGGAACCAATTGAATGATTCCTAACAACCTTGTGTTTCTGGGTGTATGGTTAATATGCTCATGACTATTTCCAATGTAGCACTTACATAATTCCAAATTTAACTAGTTATGTATGCTAATTAACAGTGCCAAATATTAAATATCTTGATCTGATTTTCGACATACTTGTTTTTGTAGCCACTGAATTATGAAGAAAAACAACAATTGACCCTGCAAATAGGTGCAGTTAATGAAGCTCCGTATTTTAAAGACCCTACCTCCAGATCAGCCATGAGCACAGTGACAGTTACTGTTAATGTAAAAAATATGGATGAGGGCCCTGAGTGTAGTCCTTCAGTGCAAACCATTCGAATTAATGAAAATGTACCCGTGGGAACCCAGAGCAATGGGTATAAAGCATTTGACCCAGAAACAAAAAGTAGCAGTGGCATAAGGTATGTATAATTCTCATTTATTTAACTCCATATTTGCCATGTTTTTTAAAATTTATAACTTATTTTGAAGCCAGTATGATAACTTGACTGGTGATGCATTTCACTTTTTTAATTCATCATTATTTACAGTTACAAGAAATTAACTGATCCAAAAGGATGGGTCACAGTTGATGAAAACACAGGGACAATCAGAGTTTTCAGAAGCCTGGATAGAGAGGCAGAGACTGTCAAAAATGGTATCTATAATGTTACAATCCTTGCATCAGACAAAGGTAAGAACTTTTTTTTTTAAACCGCTACATATGTCCACTATATACATCTTCAGTTCTTGAATCAGCAATATCCATTTTTTTTAAAGATTTATTTATTTATGCATACAAGAGCTGGGGTACAGATCAGAGATGGGGTGGAGTGTGTGTGAGAAGATTCACCAGAGACAGAGTGGGGAACAAAATAGGTAGACTGACTGAAACACACTGCTGAGGGGAGCAGTGGGCAAGGCAGGAGAGGTCTGCTGCACCATGTGTGTACCTCCCTAGCTGGCTGGGGACTGAACTCGTACTGCAGAGGCTGCAGTAGCTTCATAGGGCATTGCTTAACCCCTTGCGCCACCAGGGAGGCCCTAGCAATATCCATTTTTAAACTAATTATATTCTCAGCTTTTATTTCTCTCCCAGAAAGACACAATTGAGAGGTTTGCTATGGTTTCTTATGTCTGCTTCATTACATAACCCTCAGTTTGAGATGAAATTGTAAAATAATTTGGACATAGAAGTGTTTTAAGTCATGATTTATTGAGGTTAAAAAATTGGTCAGAACAGGGGAGGGCAGAACACAAGGGAATATGGTGACAGTTCACAGGTGATGTGGCATGAGAACTGTAAAGACTACACCTGAGGGGAGAAACCAGTTACTGTACAAAAATGACCAATGATGTAAGAACAATTAAAAAAAAATACAGAAAATGGCGAAAATTGTTTTAATAAAATTACCTTCAGTTTGTCTAGTCATGTCTCCAAATACTTAATTTTGGCAGGAAAATTGATTACAGAGGAAAATGATTAGTACCCTTAGTTTGTTCCTAGAAAACAAGTCTCTCTTTTCATAGGAAACTATATAAACTTGGAGATTAGATTTCTGATTAAGGACATTGAATAAAAATAAATCATTATACATTACACAATTAGAAAGACTAACTGAATTATAAAATTATATAAGATGCAAAATTATGTTCCGTAAGCCCTATAAAATTGAGAGAAATATGAGAGTGAGAGCCATTTGGTGTAGAAAACATAATCTTTCCATAACATATATTTGTATCTGTAAAAGAGACATGTAGCATTAGTACATGTAAAATATTAATCTGTAGCTTGCAATATTAGAATTTAGAAGTACTTTTGGAAAATGTGTTAGATATTCTGATTCTCTAAATTATAGAAAAATTATTCATTATTTGAATTCATAAAGTTGTAATCATTGTTAATTTAACTCCAACCAATTAAAGATTGTCCTTCATGTCTTCAGTTTATCTTGTCGCTTAGTCAAAGCATGTTTTTTGGCCAAAGGCAAATGAAACGAAGAAAAATAATAGGAAAAATCCATTATTTTCACATTCTTAACAATACTTGGCAACTGGTTTCTTGATAGATGAGATTAAAGTTACTGCCTGAAATTAGAGATTTCAGGCATAATTTTATCCTACATTTTCCTCTTTGTGGAGTTAGGTGACAGACTCTGTTAATCATCATTGTGCTGCAGAATAGATGTGCAATGTGGCCTTCCCCACTCATTTCTTTTGATATCAGTAGTGGGTAAATAATTTCACATGCTCTGTTTCATGAACTGAGATCATACAAAAATGTGTTTTTTTGTTTGTTTTTACTTTTTCCTTTTTTAGAAAACCTATACTGTCTAATTTCATTACATAGATTTCCTTAGACTATTCACCAGTCTGCAAGTGATTTCCCACTTCTGGAATCTTTCGTCTTTCAAACATTCCTGTGTTCTATTTTTGTTCTAATATTCTAGGTACATATCTGCCACTTTAAAATTTCCATACTCCAAACCCCTATGTATTTTCCATATATATATATTAAACTCCAGGCTCTTTAGTATGGCTTTCAGAGACCCTTGGTTGGCTTTTCTGTATACTGTCAACATTCACCAATTTCTTTTCCCCTTCATTATGATCAGAAGATGAGTGTACACACTGTACTTTACCACCTCCATGAATTTCCTTGTGCTTTTGAATATGCAAGAATGTCCTCATTGACACTCTTTTCTCTTCTCCTTTTAAAAATCAGTCAGCACTCACCTCTATAAAGTTTCCATGTCATGTTGCAGATACTTAGTAATAAATGACATATCTAAATGGTAGTTATGGTCTGTACAATGGATATGAAAATTATGTTTTCCTTTTAACATCTCCAAAGGATAATAGCCTGTGACTGTTCTTGTCACTGTCATATATATGTTTCAAATGTTTAATAAATATTTAAAAATATTTTCAATGTATGATTGTCTAATGATTACTCAAAACATCAAATATTATATTTTTCCATCTATTTCTCTAGTCGGGAGATCATGTACTGGGACATTGGGAATTATACTTAAAGACGTGAATGATAATGGCCCATTCATACCTAAAAAGACAGTGGTGATCTGCAAACCCGTCATGTCCTCCGTGGAGATTGTTGCCTTCGACCCAGATGATCCTATAAATGGTCCACCTTTTGATTTCAACTTTGAGAGTTCTGCTAATTCAGAGGGCTCAAGAATGTGGAGACTGCAAAAAATTAATGGTATGTATTTCTAAACATTATTTTTTGTCCCTTCCAGCATCATTGTGTCTAAAATATATTTTTTTTTCCCTGAAGAATAATTTACTTAATGGGAACCACAAATGAAGGAAGGCAAGTTTCTCAGTTTTGATGTGGCAGGAAGTAGTTCTGTTTACTGCTTATCTCTAATCAATCCTGTGCCAGGATTCTTTTAAGTGTTGTATGGATTTTCATCATGCTTACCCCCCCCCCCACATACACACACACACCTACCTGCTCAGACTAGGTCTAATACAATCACTTCCTGACTTATTTACCTCCCACCTACATAATTTTTTCCCATACAAATGGTTTCCTAGGCCATAAAGGAATATCCATTTGTCATAAGTCTCTTTCCCAGGATGCAGACAATTTCTTGGGCCGAATGTATAATAAAGAGTTTGCTTAGTGTCAATAACTGTGAAAGGATAAGAAATGAGTTGGCAAAAAAGAGAAGACAAGGTGCAACTCAGGCCAAAGAACAGCCAGCTAATCCAATGGGAGCCTGAGTTATATGGACCTTCATCGTTGCCCAGGATCAGCCATTGCTCAGTCAATAGAATAGGCTGCCTGAGGGGAGTAACCTTTGGCAGGAAGGTCCAATCCCAGAAGGTGCTGATAATCCTCTAAGCAGCCAGCTAAAGAGACATTGATTACAGAGCGATCTGGGTGTGCATCATAGTGTCCACCATACCATCCTTTCTTTCTATCAGCACATTAGATTCTCATGATTTATTGTCAGTTATTTTCTTGACATTCTCCCCCAACCCTAGTCTGTTCTCATGAGCTTACCCAGGATGAGATCTATGGTGACAAGAATAGCAAGAGAAAGAGATCTATCTCCATACCAGTGCCACATCACTCCCTGCAGCAGCACTTAGCTTTTCAGCATGTTCTGTGCTCCTGAACATACTAGTCTGAGTCTCCCTGTACTCCTGCTGTCATGACTCAAGATCCACAGTAAACACAATGGAGTTTACCTTTAAAGTACCCTTGATTAGTTTTCAACCCCAATTTCCTACTATGGCAAATTAAAAAAACAAAGGTTGTAAAAGAAGGGAAAGGGAGAAAGGAAAGGGGAAGAAAAGCAGGGACTTACAGATGTTATGGCAGCTAAGGCACAGTGTCCTGAATCCTGCTTTGTGAACTGAGAAAAATTCTCATTATTAAAAAAAAAATATTCCAGAATGTTGGGGTGTGTGTGTAGATGTGTGTAAGGTTTATCAACCATTATTTCTTGGCAAGAGCTGACCTTATTTTCTTAGCGTTTGTCCTTTTTAGTTATTTGATATTACTACATTTCTTTTTAAATAATCCTATTTTCCTAAATAGAAAAATAAAACATGGGCAGGGCTATTCTATCAAAAAATTGTTATTTTAAAGGTTTACTATTCTGTGAAATAAGTCAAAATCCTCGGAAACATGAAATTAAGAAGAATGTATCCCAAAGAGCCTTTGAAATCAGATAGACTCAGTGATTTTAAGTTATGTAAATCTGATCATTCTATTTATACATTTTGGACATCATATTACTTGTATAAAATGGGATTCTTTGGGAAAGTAAAGGCAATAATGAAAGCAGTATACCATGGCACAGTATCAATCATAAATTTTATTTTATAAGTCTGATTATTATCTTATATAATAGACTTAGAAATTTAACCATGTTTTCTTTTAAAATTAATTTAATTCAATGATTTTTTTACCCAGATATTTAAATTTATAGTTAAGAGTTTCAGATACTATAAAAAAAGAGCACATAACATCAGATCAGTTAAATAAGGAAGGATTTTTCTTGAGCATGGGCAAGCAGGCCTTATATTCAGAGTAGAATTATATCTTTGATTCTGAATCCAAGACTATGTTGGATTTTGGCTTAGATATGTTTTCACCCTTGATCAAATAAAGTATGTGAAAACTGAAAAATATAAAGTTAGTCTCAGTATCTTGTAGGACCATGTGATGAAGTTCTGGCATCATGACTAGGGTTATAATATGTTGAAGGTCAATGATGTTGTCAGGATTATTATCTGACGATAACCACAAGTATTTCTGTTGCTTTGGCACAAAAATGAAAATAAAGGGAAACATCTAGAATTTCTATCTATTAAACTCTGATGCTAATCATGATGTAATGTGTATAAAAATATATACACTGTATATTAAAAATTAAAGATGTGATAAAAATGAGTTATTGTTAATGGGAAGATAAATTATTACAAATATCAAAATACCTTCAATATAAAGGCAGCATAGACAAACTTCTATTTGCAATAGGTTTGCAAATACTTCTAGATTAGAGCTACTCAGTCCTTTCACATTTACTATCTTGTAGCAGTCATGAATTCCATTAACAAAGTGAATGGAGGCAGAATATGAGAAGTAGCCTACCAATAGTTTAATGCTCAGGTGAAATCAATGACATTCTATAATGCTTGGTTTAATTTTCTTTCAGATACAGCAGCACGTCTTTCCTGCCTGAGTGACCTTCCATTTGGAACATATGCAGTACCTATCAGAGTCACAGACAGACATGGCCTGTCACATGTCACTCCTGTAAATGTTATATTATGTGACTGTGTTACGGAAAATGACTGCATATCCCGAGTAGATCCAAGGACTGGCAATGGAGAAATAAAACTTGGAAAGTGGGCCATCCTTGCCATATTGTTGGGCATAGCATTGCTATTTTGTAAGTCATTTCATGAATTCAAATAATGGCCCTAAGAATAACTTTTAAGATATTCCTAGAAATAACACTTATCCATAGCTGTTCATTTGCATGTTCTATATTTATAATTTCACACAAATTCATTTGTCTATAGTTCTTGTGATGTCTCAGCATAAAGCTGAAAAGCAATGTAGAATTATAGCACCGAGCATGTGTCTGTGGCAACCCTGGCAAGGGCAGATTTTATGCCCTTCACTACTTTGACACAAACTATCATGTTTACCTTTTCTGGAGGCTGTCTTTGTGTTAATTATTTTAAGGTGATAACTTCACATTGCATTGTGATAAACTGAGTTAATCTTTCTCATCCTCCAGGTGTACTATTTACCATAGTTTGTGGGGTTACTAGGGCATCCGAAAAGCCAAAAGTATTTCCTGATGATATAGCTCAGCAGAACCTCATTGTGTCAAACACCGAAGCTCCTGGTGATGACAAAGTTGTAAGTAGTTTGTCTTTGTAAAATAAATAGAAAGACTAAATTGGCTTATCCAATGATGAATATCTTTTTCAGATAATTCTGAGTTCAGGTGACTTATGTATCAATATGTTTTCAGTCCTATGGAACAGATGACATGACATTGGTTCCCATGGCGATGCATAAAAATGTGGCCAAAATTTGGCCACATAGTGTAATTTAATAGTAAAAATCCTTCAACAGGTCATTATTATTTTCTATTTCAAATATATCATGGTTTTAACTTTAGATACAGTCCTTTTTATACATTGAAACTGCTCTTTGTGCTACAAAAATGTTTCATTTAATTATTCACAGATCATCAGCATAATTGTTTTAAATATTTTCTGGCAACAGCAATAAAATGACTACAAGCTTTGATGAGTGTGGGAAGAACTTTAATGGAGTCTTTCTGGCTCATATATGGGTTAGAAAGAAGCCTGAGGTCAAATATATGGAATAGTAATGCTAACAAGTGACTTCATTTCCCTAACTTTGATTTCTGGCCCATGCGTAGATGAGGAACAGGTGAATACCCTATAAAAAGCATAATCGATGAACAGGGCAGCAAAGATTTAGAAAAACAAAAGGATGTTGGCATCTAAGAAGGAACTAGAAAAAATAAAAACTAGTTTTCCTTAAAACTACAGCATGGAAAACTAGTGGTTAAAGTCTTGGTGTTCATATTTTCCCTACTTGATTTACTTTTATTTATTATATTGCAAGGATTTATTATTTCAGCTTAAGTTTTTATGCAATGCTATTTCTGCTGTTTTTTGTTTTTTATTTAGCTTTATTTACTTAGACACTGAATAAAACTACCAGTCTAATTCTATTCCTGCTCTAGTCAAGTGAAGGGAATGAATTTAAACCAAGCAGAGTAAATATATGTGAGGCAATGGTACTCGGATTCTGATTTTGAGATATCAGATGCTAGAAGAATTTAACAAATAAAATTGTTCAATATTCCAAGAAAGTTTTAAAGCTTAGTAATTTTAAATTAAGTTTCTGATTTGATACAGACCACTTGATACACAATTTGTTTCTTACATTGGACTTCTCAACTTTAATAAGTATCACAGTTACATAGTTACTCATGATTGCCAAAATGCATTTAGTTCCTGCCCTCAGAGAGCTTACCATCTAGTCAGACAATTCACAGCACTAAATGCTTGGTGTTGTTCATTTTCTAATTTTTTTTTTTCATTCCTCTCTCATTGTCTCCAATGCAAACCGTTTCATTTCAGTATTCCACAAATGGCTTCACATGTGCAACCCACGGGGCTGGTGGTGGCTCTACTCACACAATTTGTGGCACTGTGGGAGCAGGAGTGAAAAATGGAGGGCAGGAAAGCATTGAAATGGTCGGAGGACACCAGACTTTGGAATGCCGCTACGTAGGCGGGCATCACCACACCTTGGATTCCTGCAGGGGAGGTGGACAGCAGACCTTGGATCCCTGCAGGGGGGTTGGACAGCAGACCCTGGATCCCTGCAGGGGAGGACACGTGGAGATGGACCACTGCAGACACACTTATTCCGAGTGGCAAACATATACTCAGCCCCGTCTCGGTGAAGTGAGTTTCCCTATGTGTCTTAAAGCTGTATTTGATTTTTTTCTCAACTTTCTAAATGATTACAAATTATTGAACTTATCTTTATTTTCAATTTTTATAAATTTACTCATTGGAAGCTTGCTTTGTCTTAATTTTGATTCAGTTATGTTCAAATATTAAGTAGGTGTTTACTTCTCATATTTTAATTGTTTTTAATTCTTATTGTAATGTGTGACATGTTTAAATATTTTTCATGACTTTGTATTGATATTTCCCATCTGACAAGTCATGTCTTAGAAGCCAAAAGGGTGGAACCAGGCAATTCCAGCCTGCACAATTACATTGCCTATCTGGAAAGATCTGAATCCCTATCAATTTGGGTTCAGTTTACTGGCTTCATCTCACTTTAGCCATAACTTGGAAAGGGAAAAGAATGATTACTTAAACACTTGTATACTTGCTGCCACATATGTGACTTTTAGAAACATGCTAAATAATTAATTTATAGTGTGATTTGTGATATAGACCAATCATGTACCATTTTTTATATGTAGGAATCCATTAGAGGACACACTCTGATTAAAAATTAAACAATGAAAGGTAAATCAAAGCCATTATTTTTATGTTGGTAAGTTCTGGTGCTTAAAATAGTAAGAATAAGCTATGTTGTATCTTTGCTTTCCACAGAAGGTGAAGCTTTGCAACCAGGATGTCAATCACCAACTCGCTCAAGACTACGTCCTTACCTATAACTATGAAGGGAGAGGATCGCAGGCTGGTTCCATAGGTTGCTGCAGTGAACGGCAGGAAGAAGATGGGCTTGAATTTTTGGATAATTTGGAACCTAAATTTAGGCCACTAGCAGAAACATGCATAAGGAGATGAGTGTGTTCCAATAAGCTACAAAAAACGGTGGCTTTTCCAACTTTTATTTTAATTATAAGCCAGGATTTTTAAAGTCTAGAAGATGCTATGTTTGGGGCTTCGTAGCCTTTCTTTTGATGGGGTCTCTTTTGCCAAATACACATTTACAGAGAGCGGCAGAATACATGCCCAAATTTCCTAAGTTTTACATAGTTTCCACTTGTCTTCTTCTTGAGAAGACCGACACATAAAAAATAGACGAAGTTTGCATTATTGTTTACATTTGGGAATATGACAATAGCCAATTATAGTGCAATAAACTATTGATATAATTAATTTAAGTTTAAATCACTACTTGAAGCACAACCTAATAGAACATTGTAGACACCTTGTGTTCACATTATCTCGAGTTACCTAATTGATTGATTGTGTGGTGCTTGAAATCTGTTCTCTTAATCTTTCTAAAGTTTATGTATTTTTTCATGTTGTTTTATTCTTATAACGTGACCTTTCTTCATCATAGAAAGGAAGAGTCCCAGCCAGCACTGACTATATTACAATTTTGGTAGAGTTTATTTGGTAGAGTTTATTTTCTAGTGTGTATTTTTTACGAAGTCCTGCACTGAATCTCCATATCCTCTGTTACCTACTTTATCAGTGAAAGTTAAGGTTAAAAAATGCTTTGAGAATGTAATTTTTCCCTGAAAGGTTTTTGTTTTCAGCATCTCTCTCATCCTCTCTCTCTGCTTTTGTCCCTCCTCCCCTCCCCTTTGCATGTCCCTCTCCCTCTCTCTATTTCTATCCTCTTCATTCTTAACATTCCTATTTGGATTGAAAATCTAAATGTCTTCAGATTATCTTAGATTATAGAAATTAGAACTAGATATTTTAGATAATATTTAGTTGCCTCTCTTTTTTTCTCCCATAAATTGAGTTATTCTTCTTCTGTCTTATGTAAGTGTATGTATAGTTGGCTTTCCTTAAAATCCATATAATGTTCACTTTATTGCTTTAAATGTCTGGATGATGTTCATTATTGTCTCAACAAAGAACCTTAACATTTGCAATGGAAACTATAGAAATAAGTCATGCTTTTATTAGATACCATAGTCTATGTTAACAAAGGGAATAATAGTGTGATTAAAATTGGGATATAGACATTGAATACATTTAAAGATTATGTCTTTAAATGCAAGGATGCAGTTTATAAATGCAAAATAATGGTGGTTTTTGAAATAAGCTTCAAAATACAGGGATTATGGAAACTCACTGGGGAAAAAGTAATTTATAACTATCTAGGTGAGATGGCTAGTTATGTCTTTATTTGTGTTTTGAAGTTATTTTTTGATAGGTAACTGTTTTTTAAGATTGTAGTTTTTTAACAAATGTAGAAGTGAGTCAAATTCTTTAAAATTTGAAATAATAAAAGATGAAATTAAACTTAATAGTAAACCCAATTCCAGATCATGTTTCACAACTTAATTCAGTCAATGAATGCTCTATGCTATGTATGCTAACCAGATGGACATTAAAATGTATTTCTCCATTTATGGTTGTCAAGTGTGCCTACCTTGAATTCATAGGTTGACTTTAAACAATTATTTTTAAGGATTAACATTAGGTTATTATTTAATAAACAGTTTTTTTATTAGTTTCATTACTGCTCAGTCAAAAATAGTATTTCTCAAAGTTATTTGTCATTATGTGCAGATTTATTTTTTTAACAAGTTGTGATAAATCAAGTAATTTTAGAAGGATGATATTTGTAAATCATGTGCCTGATATGAACATTTGAGTTTGCATTTTTCTAGAGAAGTGAATCTCTTCTTTAGGTTCTTGTTCTGCATTTTTTAGAATTTTAGAGCTTGATTTGGGGAGTATGTTGTTCCATTTGTTATCACAATTATATAATTTTACTATTCTACAGACTGATGCTATGAGATATTCATTAAATCACAGAATTTCTGTGTCTGTTTTTTCCCCCTTAAAATGGGGGATACTAATAGAACATCTTTCCTAAGATGGCTCTAAGATGTTGAATAAAAAATGGTTTTTAAGCATAAAAGACATATAACGTAGTCCACATAAAAGATAGTTCTAATTATATTGTGATTTTAATTAAATCACTTGTACAAACCCCCTTGATCCTGATGAAAATTACTTCAGAAAATAAGATATAGGAAGGTCGTGGTTGTTTGACTTTAGAATGTGTGTCAATTGAGAATAACGATGAGGTCTTCATAATGATGGGGTCTTCTATAATCAAAGTTGAAGAGCTTACATTGCAATGATTGCTGAAGCATTTACTGGCATTGCCTATGAAATGATATGAAAATTCTTGGTTCAAAGAAAATGGAAAGCAGGATAGCCACATCTTAAATGGGCACAGGTCCTAAAGTCCTATAAAAATATATGCTTATGATTCCTCCCTTCCTAAGCTTCTCTCTTACCTGTTTTGCTAGAGATTGCAGTCTTAGAAGCAAGCTGTCACTTGCCTGAAAGTTTAAGGCTTTTGTCCGTCACCATGGTGACCCTAAATCCAGACTCCAGAGAGAGAGTGCCTTGATGTAAATCCCAGCTCCACCCATACTTTCAGGGGGTTGAGAAGTCACTTAAATGTTGAGTCTAGTTTCCTCACTCACATAACCTGTGTTTAGGGGATTGGAGGAGTATATTCATAGTTTTTATTGTCAGTTAAAATAGTTAATTCATGAAAAGAGTTGGCACTTAATATACATTAGTTGCTACTATTATCATATGAGAAGAGAATGCCTGAGTTGGAAATAATCACAGCTTCAGTCTCCATTCTGCTTTACAACTAACATCTCTCCATTCGTTTCCCCCAAAAGTCTTCCCTATGTTTTTACCTGGGATGACCTTTGGGAATTTCATGATTCAAAATAGTTTTCAGGTCGCTCTTTCTTGGTATTCAGGAGTTAGCCACAGCCCCCAAATAAGTGTGATAATTCTTGCAACTTAAGTGAAAGGCAGATAAATTTCTTCAGCCATTATCTTAGGGATTTCCTCTAAGAAGTGGGAGGCACTTCAACAGGAGGTCAGTAATAGGGACCTGCTATTAGTTTAGTACATTTTGTATTTGGGATTTCTCTGTAACCATTTTCTGCTTTAACTTTTTTTACCCCCATCTAAAGACTGATTTTTCTCTTTGTTCCAAAATCTGTTGCACAAAATCTCACTTAAATACCATCTCACACCAGTGAGAATGGCACATATTAAAAAAACTAGCAACAACAAATGTTGGCGAGGATGTGGAGAAAAAGGAACTCTTGTGCACTGTTGGTGGGAGTGCAAACTGGTCCAACCACTATGGAGAGCTGTGTGGAGATTTCTGGACCTACTAAACATAGAGCTTCCATATGATCCAGCAATTCCACTCCTAGGTATTTACCCAAAGGACACAGAAACATCAATTCCAAAGAGCACCTGCACTCCTATGTTTATAGCAGCACTGTTTACAATAGCTAAGCTTTGGAAACAACCCAAATGCCCAAAAATAGATGACTGGATCAAGAAGATGTGGTACATATATACCATGGAATATTACTCAGCATTCAAAAAAGATAAACACATGCAATTTGCAGCAACATGGATGGCACTGGAAGGGATCATGCTCAGCGAAATAAGCCAAAAAGAAAAAGAAAAATACCGGATGGTCTCACTCATAGCAGGAATCTAGAAAACTTAAATAAGGGACCAGGAAAATGAATATAAGAAAGTGAAAATCAAAATCAACAAAAAACTATGAACCAGAGACACTTTTTGGGGGGTGGGGGACGGGAGGGGAAGGATTGGGGTCAGAATGGGGCGTTTGCAATTGTATGGGGGAATATAAAAATAAAATTTAATATTTAAAAAAAAAAAATAAATAAATAAATACAAAAAAAAAAAAAAAAAAAAAAAAATCTCACTTAAACTTCATTTTCTTCTTTAGTTTCTCCATCTCCAGCCTTTTCCTGGGCTCCAGATTGAAGTCTTTGACCCTAGATTTTGCCTTGGTTGGTATCTTAGGCATTTGCATTTCGAGAATAAAGTGACTTTCCTTCTTTGTTCTCAGAAGCAGCATATTTTCACCTTCTTAAATAAATAAAGCTCCAAAAGGTAAAAATAAATCTATGTAGAGCTATAGCTTTTATTGACTTTTCTGCAAAACTTCTGTTATCCTTCTAGTACTTCAAAATCATGTAAAAGCATGAGATTCCTTTGGGTTCCTTCTTGTTACCTAGGCTTAAAACTGAGAATCCTCTATTACTCTTTTCACATATCATATCCTCATTGTTGTCCCAAAAGGTCAAATCTTATGAGAATTTTAAACACAATTTTATTTATTTATTTTTTATATGAGCATTCACTGCCTTCCCAGAATTGCCATTTAAGGCCTTCCTCTTATAGACTGTGCTGGTATGAGATGAATGAGATTCATGAAATGAATCAATTACTCTACCTGCCCACAAAAGTCAGTACAGGACAAGACACAATGCCATTTTGAGTAGATGTGAGTATGGGGTAGTCAATGCATGATACCTGGTCAATGCATGTCACATGATACCAGGTAATGTGGGGAGTGTTCAATACCCACAAAAAATTTCAGGTATAGCAAAGAACTGTAGTATTCTAGTGAGTGAAGTCGTGCTTTTGCTACTCCAAAGCTAAAAGTCGTGAACATTAGATGTACGTACGTCTATTGACTTTATCTCTTTTTCACACATTCAGCCCACCAGTTCCCCAGTTTAAATCTTTGGTCTCACTCAGCTCCAACAGTATTTGTGTCTCTCTCCTCTTTCTCCTTCCCCCATTCCTACAGGCATCAAAGAACAGATAATGGTACTTGGCATTCTGCTACCTAATGGCCTTTATGGTCTTAGAGGGTAAATTTGAATTGTAAAGTCACATTCAAATATCCATCTTCCTGTACTCTATACATTTTCTATTTCTGCCTTGCTTATGATAAGGCCACCAATTGCAACATATTTATTCACTTATGATCTAGTCCTTTGTAAAAAATATGACATTTTGAAGATCTAGTTCAAATACCATCTCCCACCATAAGACATTTTTGTGTCTAGAGAACATCACTGTAAATATTTCACTTAAAAGGGTATGTGTAGATACCGATATATATATGTGCATATACCTTTTCACATATATATGTATATGTGTATATATACAGTGTATTAGGAATCAAATAACTTAATTTGTAATCTTGTTTTCTGTTTACGACCCAAGCAACACAATTTGACTCATCAAAATGTATGGGTGGCCGTTGTTCTATGGTAATACATATGTGAATATTTTCGTTTTGTCCTCAGTAAGCTTCCCACATAAGAGAAAAGAAACACACCACACACACACACACACAGAAACATTTAAAAAAGTTATAAATCATTTGATTTCTAGCATGGTATATCACTCTCCTTTGGCATAGATGTGATTAGATTCTACACTAAATTCTTTTTTCCAACATAAAGATATTGAATACATTGTATATCAAATGTTTGCAACCACAACATAGTATAAGAAAATGAGGTAGTGAGATTTGGAATCTCTTATTCCATAGCTGAACCACACTAAATAAGAACCAATTAAGATTGTTGTCCATCTTCTTCACCACTATATATCCAACACATACAAGATTAGTCATTCAATATTCCTACTATATATCTGGTACTCAATTAATGCCTAAAGAACCATTTTTTCCCTCAACATTGGCCATTGTGAAAGTCATACTTGTGACCATCATCTCATTACTAACATGTTCCAACACTGCAGTGGAGATAACTTTTGCTAAAGAACTATTTGCTAATCCCCTAAGGAAAGGCAACTAAGCTTACTTATGTTTTAGGAATTTAAGAAATGGTTTTTATGGCTTTCCCAAAGCCAAACTAATTATTTATGAATGGTTGAATAGCAAGTCTTCACTCAAGATATATACTGAGAAACCAGAGGAAAGGAAGATGATGCAGAGCTGAGAGCCTCCTTTGAGTTAGACTAGGAGAACATTTTCTGTAACAGGACACCACGAAGCTCAAGTGTGCACTGAGAGGGACACCACGAAGCTCAAGTGTGCACTGAGACCACAGAAAAGGAAAAGAAACGTTCAGCTGTGAATCCAGGAGGTGATGGCTATATTGTACTGTGAACAGAAAATTTCTCAGGAAGAGAACATATAAAATAAAATGGTCTCTGATCAACTTGCAAGGAAAAGATCTATCTAGGTAATGGAGGGGAAGGCTGAGTAAGTAAGAGGACACTGTGGTTCAGGTTTTTAATTTTTTATTTTTAAATCATTTGTATGTTTTCCTTTCCCCAAGGAAGAGGGTTTAAAGTCTGGGGATTTAAATCTTAAAAGGTAAGATTTTGATCTTTCTTCCTAGGGAGTGCTTCTCTCCCACCTTCATCCTGGCCTTTATTCCACCAATAGCTAAGAAGCAACTTAAATCACTTTTGCTCAGCATTTTTTAAATTAAGCATAGACATTACTTAGTTGCATTTTATATTAAACATGCAACCTGGGGTCTTCATGTAAAGCAAAAAACACAATGCTAAAAAACAGAACATAAAAAAATAATGGTATAGT